CCGATAGATATTCACCGAATTTATTTCCGATCAGGTGAAAAAGACACGCTTAAATCAAAGAAACTGTGAAGAAATCCAGTGATGACAAATGGTTACCACGTGTGTCAGCCGTGTCCACCGAAAACTCAGGCCAAAAACTCAGTGGATGAAACTCCGACCGGTCACCAGCATGTCTAAACAGGTGGTGAGAATTTACACCTTTGAAACATGAATGAGTTTGGGTTTCGCTCCAAGGTAGACAACAAACATATGAGTAGTGTCTTCCGTTTGGAAAATGTGCTGCGATGTCTCTAAGGTCATCTCAACTGAAACACGATTCAGTTGGGATTCAACTGAATTTCCTGTTAAATTAGTCCATCACATCGCAGTCTTCAACTGCTATCCAGGTGGTCGCGGGTTCGAACCTTCCCGGGAGTTCTTCCGAGTTAAGCGCACTGCTGGTGATCTCCAACAAGGATGAAACAGCTGTTCAGTAGTTCTGTTTTTTCAGCCTGAGTGACACGAAGAAACCTCCGCTGAAAATTCCCAAGCCGCCACATACGCCGAAGGAGTTTACCACTCTCCGCAGAACGATTTACCGGTCTTGGGGGCGAGACGGCCCAAGTGGTTAGAGCGCGAATTTACTGCCCGAAAGGTCCATGGTTCGAACCCAACCTCTACGTCTCGACTTCCCCTGTCTAGGCTTGGGCAACCTAGCGGTATCCCAGCCCTCGTGTTTCCTTCGGGTGGCATGGCAGCTAGGCACCGAAAGGGTGCNCATTTCATTTCACATAAACCAAAAAGGTCATAGGCTTCGCTCCCTGCTGCACTTCACTATTCTATTCCCACCGGATGCTGAAATGCTTGTTTGTCCTTCATGTAGGTCCAAAATCATCCTGACATCCCCCCCCCCCGCCGAGTGATGATCGCTCGTTTTGCTGACCTTTTCATACGTTTCGCAATACACACACACATCTTGTTCACGTGACCATCATGATTAAACGTAAATGCATCACATAACACTGCGCGTAGATACGTTTCTAACCACTGTGTTCACGAAAACTAGGAGATAAACAAAACCCCGATAGATTCGGTCACGCATTTTTCTTATTCTAAATTTTTTTTGTATTTGTTTAGAAGATAAGTAACCGCCTTGGTGATGGGCATCTGTTGCGAATTCCGCAGCATCAGGCGGCTCTGTACAGCACATGAAGTTGAAGAGTACCATGAACAAGAATTTCAGCAGCTTTTTTTCATAACGAAACTACTTCACAAGGTTGCTGAAAACTCTTCGACAGCCCACGACCGGTTTCGCCCTTCTTGGTTGCTGAAGACTCTTCGACAGCCCACGACCGGTTTCGCCCTTCTTGGGGCTCATCAGGTAGGCTCAGTCCCCGAGTTTCCGTCAACCTTATGATCTATCATAAACCAGAGATTCAGTTGAGTCTTTCGTGAAAACCAAATTGATTTGCAAATGTATTTCTCGAATTTTAGCAGCTATTCAAGTGAGTATGCCGCTAAAACCAAATCGATGTGCGAATGAGGACAGTTCACACAACTGCGATGAATCAGAACACGGGATTGTCGGAAACTCGGGGAGTTTCCGAGTTCTAAAATGGGTGAAACCGTTCAAAGCGTTTTCATCAACCTTATGAGTAGTGCGTTCCATCAGGGGCATTCGAACGTAAAGGTCTGTCAACCGGGGAAGTAACGTGACATAACGTAGTACGGTGGCAGCCATCTGTTGTACAAATCGCGCGTTTTTAAACGGGGTCTTCGAGCGGAACATGAGTAAGTGTCTTCATCTGTGGACTGCTCCAACATCCACTGGACAGGGACAAACTGTAACCCTAACGTAGAACTCATAAGTTGGACAAACACAGGTCGGAACACAAGGTCGCTTCATTGTACGGCAACCATGCAGCAAGGGAACTTCGGCAACTATCGCCGTTTTTTCATCCCAGGTATCCAGCTACTTAAACACATATTTTTTGTAGATTCTGCTCGAATGATCACAAAAGTCTGAAGCCTCAAGATAGTTGGACAAACACAGGTCGGAACACAAGGTCGCTTCATTGTACGGCAACCATGCAGCAAGGGAACTTCGGCAACTATCGCCGTTTTTTCATCCCAGGTATCCAGCTACTTAAACACACATTTTTTGTAGATTCTGCTCGAATAATCCCAACAGTCTGAAGCCTCAAGATGCGAAAATTACACTTTTATTGTCACTTGGGAAATCTCCTCAACCAATCAAATTCACAGTCTTAGCGTGAGCAGTATTCACAACGGTTGATACAATTAGCTTGCGGCTCATTTGGAATCGTTGAGCTAGTAAGCTCAACTAATTCAGACGAAGCAGCTTCTCTGTGGCTAACATAACAGTTCCCCCGAAGATAAATCGCTTTTCTACACAGAAGAGAGAATCGGAAACGAAACTAGACAGTCTGTCTGGATTTGGTTTCCCAGACACCTACTTTCACCATATATCTCTCTCTAATTAACCGGTAATCCAAGGATCCTGAGATAATACCGGAAAACTGAGTAGAAAAACCGACACAATCAGCTGGATCGAACGTATTACACTTCACAAAATTCACCTCATGTCTTGGTTGAAACAATATCCAAAACGTTCTTTACCCGACTCTTTGAAAATTTTTTTATGATCCGCTGTCACCTTTCGTGAAGCTCATCAGCTAGGCGTAGCTGTCGAGTTTCGGTGACTGCTACGATCTACGTGAATATCAAGGTGAATCAACTAATTTTGAAACTAACCTCAATGGCGAATACGGACTCATTTAAAAACTGATTTGGTTTTCGAGAGACTCACCTGAACCCAGCTGGAATCTTTCGGTTTTGATGTTTCCGGGCAACTGAATGTGTTGCATCAGGCCGCCTCATGTTTCAGTTGCTACCATATTCTAGATATTGCGATACATGTATATTTTGCAATGCACTACTCATAAGTTTGCTGAAAACTCCTCGACAGCCCACGACCGGTTTCGCCCTTCTTGGGGCGCAGTCCCCAAGTTTCCGTCAACAATATGTTCTACTTGAAACCAAATTGCACGAAATCAGCGAAATACACACTCATTTGCAAACTAATTTGGATTCTCGAGAGACTCCCCTGGAACCCAGCTGGACCTCTCGGTTTTGATGTTTCCAGGCGCTCGTGGACCCAAGCTATTGCCTTCAAAGCACAGCTCCCTTCCCGATTCTCCCACTTAACAATCCACTGATGGTGCTGTATTCACACATTAATTCATCAGCTCCTGCTTCCAATGCGCGGCTACCTACCCTACCTCCCCAAATCATCGTCAAACGAAACTGTGGCAGCTATAACCACTGTACGACAAGTACACGGTTCTTTCAGCTGATAATGATAATGATGATGATGATGATGATGATGATGATAATGGTGATAACGGGATCTTAGGTTTAATCGTGAAGAGCAACATTTCCTTCTTAATCTTGATAAAATTTTGGGGGATCATTTGCTTTAACAAACTGAGTTCTCTGCATCTTGAAACTAGAAAACCTGGAGAACAAAAAATCGATCTCACGCCACAGATCGCGCACGGTATTGATTGTTTTGCTCAGTCAAGACGCGACGATGGCGGTAACCGTCTCCTACGTCAAACCGTATAACAGTAGTTTCGTCGCATCCACTATGTGTATGCATTTATCAGCATTTGATTTGTGCCAAAGACGTTTCGACAGCTATCGACCAGTTTCGCCCTTCTCAGAGCTCATCAGATAGTCCCCAAGTTCCCATCAATCCTATGTTCTACTTAACCTAGTGAGTACACAGCCGATCAAGAGTATCTACCTTCGAATCAGACTGATGTTAAGAGGAGACCCAAGTGAATCTTTTGTTTACAATGTCTCTCAAATGAGTAGTGTCCGCAGCAAGTATCGCCTCATCTACACGATATTCGAGAAACGGCAGCATATTTTCTCGACATAAAGTCTACTATTCAAGTAGAAAGTGAGGTTGGTGGAACCTTTTGGACTGAGCTCCAAGAAGGGTTAAATCAGTAGTGAACCGTGACCTTGTGAGTACTGCGTTATGTTGAGAAAAATTACTGCGGTGCCTCAAATATCGTGCGGAGTGAACTACGTGGCGGCCTGTGTGCTGTGAATCCAGCCGGAGAACATCACAAACAAGAGTGCATCGTTAACAACAAACTAATTTTCAACTGCGTGTACTGAATCCAGTTCACCACGGTCGGAAAACCCATAAATTTTCATATTCCCAGCTATCTTATCTTGAGTCACGATTTTTTAAATGGATGTCAGCGTAACGTCAACAGGTCAATCCATAAATTCATGAAAAAGTCATCGTTGAAAACGTCCTACGCGGTACCTGTTCAAAAACTAGAATAACTGGGGATGCTGTCGTGAACGGGGACCTTCAAGTTCGGAACTTCGTCCATCAAAACACTCACTGACAGTATGTAATGGATTATTTAGAATCCGTTTATCATCCTATTCAAGGCAATTTACACAGCCCCGAGTATAGTAAATTACCAAGCTTCGACGGGTTTTCAACAACCTTATGAGTAGTACATTACAAAGATATACATGTATCGCGATATCTCAAATATTGTAGCGCCTGAAACATGAGGCGGCCTGATGCAGCACTTTCAGCTGCCTCGGAACATCACAAACGGGAGGTTCAACTGGGTTTCAGGTGAGTCTCTCGAAAAACCAAATTAGTTTGCAAATGAGTGTATAGTCGCTAATTTCGGGCAATTTGGTTTCAAGTAGAACATAAGGTTGACGGAAACCCGGGGACTGAGCCTACCTGATGAGCCCCTAGAAGGGCGAAACCGGTCGTGGGCTGTCGACGGATTTTCAGCAATCTTATGAGTAGTACATTACCAAGATATACCAAGCTTCATATTTTCAACACACTCGTTTGAGCAGTCTACCTAGTCTGGATCAGTCTACACCGAGTTTCGCTTTCTTTGGAACTCAGCAGTAGTGAATGTCAATGTGACGTAAACGCGTGTACGTACCGGCGTTATTAAAACCGCAGACGCCCCACTTAGCGCGTTCAAGCCTGCCCATCCCTGAGCCTTATGACTCATCGACCGGCTACCCGATCCATTAAGGCAACCAATCAGAGCACGCCACGTGCTGTGACAAAACGTGCCAAGCTGTTGTGGTCTGCTCAATTTTTCCTTGAATTTTGTAGGTGGATCTGGTGAAACTGGGATTTCCAAAACGGATAGAGTTATCGTCATGTTTCCATTTGGTTCTCTCAATTCCATTCCTACCCTTCTCGCCTGTTGTTAATATCTCTCGGGGGCAACGTGAACACGAACGGTTGAAGCGTGTTGACAACATGATCTTCATTAATAACACCACCACCACTAATAATAGTAATGATAATAACAATACTAATATCAGTAGTACTCAGGCCGCCTCTCTTGTTGCGTGACTAAATCAGGAAAGCAAGCAGGTCACGCACTTCACAAACAAACGTGTAAACAAATCGAGTTTTGCCGGAATATATTACAAATCAACAAACCGATTCGGAGCATCGCACGCAACCATTCACCCGGATTATAATCTCTGTTCATCCTTTTGTTCACCTTGACAACAGTACACACACAGATAGAGCACCCGAAACAGGATAGCTACAGCAAGAAGCTCCCTTCTCCCGGGAGAGCGTGCCTGTACTGAGCCGCCAGAAGTATGAAGAAGGAAGGAAGAATGGTGAGGACTTGTAAACAGGTTTGTTTTACGACTTTTCAGTAGTATGAAGACGCTAAAGTACCCCTCCAGATTTACGGACAACCTCCATTCTCTGGTTACCAGTAATTTCAATGTGGAATTCAGTTTTAAAATTGTTCCAACACTGGCTGAATCCGCCAATAACCGGACGAAAACGCTTTATATCGGTGACATGGCATGTAAGCACTAAACTGTCGCCTCACCAACTACGGTTTGTGGTTGAATCTCGTTCGCATCACTTCGGTGAGTCCACGGCAAAGGGGTCACGTGCTTCCCCACTCCTCGGAATAAGTGAGCCAGGACAGGAGGACGACTGTTCAAACAAGAGTGATGTCAACTTGAGCTTTACAAATCCCGCAAACACGTAAAACGAATCGAAAATTGTCCACAACGTTCACGGTGCTCGCTGACTGGGAGGTCCTGACAGGTGACTCAGTCGATCGATAAAACCGAGATATTCGAGGCGTCGAGCAGGCAAATCACGTGACACAAATGATAATTCGAGTGCGTCAAGCCTGCTTTGGTGCAGTAGTGGTAACACGCTTTATTCACACGTCAGACAACCGGAGTTCAAGCTTCGGAACGGCCAAGGTAATGCACTGCTTGCGAGTTCTAATTGGAGTGAAAATAGAGTCCAATCCCATTCGTGTGGACTCACCCGTAACGGTCATCCATACTCTGAAAGAAATTCGTTCCAGACAAGAGGACGTCCCCAACTCATGCAGATCAACATGTCTCTTATTATAATGACAAAATTGCGTTCATTTAGCAACCCCATCCATTTGTGAAATTCATTTGTGGTACCAATGCGGCCACATTCTGACCCAGTTTTGGCCAAAAATCAGCTGGGGGGTATCTCGAATTAGGAAACGGGGGAGGTGTTCTATCGGTTTGGCGCATTCATTTTATGCACAGATGCCGAGTGGCTACTGTTTAGCCACTTCAGCTTGTTTGAAATTACAAACGGTTCATGTCACATGAGACTAGGGGGGTTCGAGCAAACGACCTTCGGTCCATTCCCTGAAAGCTATACTGTTTGACCACAGGCGGATGATCAGCCCGCGTTTAGAAAGGATTTAGAGTCACTCGTCCTTCCGTCACGCAATCCACATCACCTGGTCACTCGTCGGGTGGCTCCTTGAGTGGAGACTTCTTAGATGGAAATTTCACTCTCTCACCTGAGCTACTTGAGGGATTGTGAGTAGATTTGTTATGGAAGGCCGAGAAAAACCGCACGGCTGTTTCAGCCTAGGGCGATTCGAACCCATGACATTCAGGTCAGTGGCTGAAGACCACAGGCAGCTGATCGGCGGTGTGACCATCTCGCATCGGGACACTCCGAGGATTGTCGTAGCGGGGAGGCAGATCAGTTTAACAAACCAAATGTGCTTTCTACCAAGTCGGAACTATACAAATTTTTGTGATAGGCAAAACTTACCCTGGCTCTGCAGTTAATATCTACCTGTGTTGATGGGCCGTATCCACGACAATTCGCCGCATCCTCAGTGTACTACTACGTTCCGATGAAAAGTGCACCCTTGTGCAAGTCAGTCAGTTTTGGACACCCTCAGGTA